GAGTTAAATTCACCGATTCCTGTCCACTTTAGTTCACTGATTCCTAAGATATCGATGTTCAGTCTTGCCATCTCATTTTTTACCACGTCAAGCTTACCTTGATTCATAGATCTTACATTCCAGGTTCCTATGCAGTATTGTTCTTTGCAGCATCGGACTTTCCTTTCACCATCAGACACATCCACAACTGAGCGTCCTTTCGGCTTTGGCCCAGCCGCTTCACTCTTTCTGGGGTTACTTGTACTTGCCCTCTGCTCTTCCCCAGTAGCATATTGGACACCTTCCGACCTGAGGGGCTCATCTTCCAGCATCATATCTTTTAGCCTTTTGATACTGTCCACGGGGTTTTCTTGGCAAAGATACTGGAGTGGGTTGCCATTACCTTCTCCAGGGGATCACGCTTGGTCTGAGTTCTCTGCTGTGGCCTGTCCGTCTTGGGTGGCCCTCCACGCCATAGCCCGCAGCCTCATCGAACCACACAAGCCCCCTCGCCACGACAAGACAGTGATCCATGAGGGGGCATGAGGGTACTCTAAACATGTCAGTGTAAAATGGGTTCTAGACCTCAAATAAAGCCCACCATCACATACTGGCCAGAGGAGGAGGAGATTGGATTCATACCCTGCCCTTCACTGCCCAAAGGAGTCTCAGAGCGGCTTACAAAACTCCTTTCCCTTCCCCTCCCCAGAACAGACACCCGGTGAGGTAGGTGGGGCTGAGAGAGCTCTCCCGAGAACTGTCCTTCAGAGAACAGCTCTGAAAGAACTTAATCGGGAATCAAACCCAGTTTTTCCAGATTAGAATCCACGCTTCTAACCACTACACAAAACTGGCTCTCAGAACCCAGCTAAGGGAAATGACCTCTCAATCTACAGCCTCTCATTCATAGCTGCTAGCTTGGATTTTGATGCTGGCTGAAGTAAACCACCTGGGCTGGGGTTGTCCTCTGTTGGCAATACGGGTCTTTTGACAGAGATGAAGTGCTACCACAATCTGGAAGGTGGAAGGAAGTACAGAGAGCCCAAACAGAATATAAATCAGAAAATGCTTTTCTTTAAAAGTGAATAAGACACACATCAGGGTTGGACGAATGAGCAAATCTAGGTGAGAGGGTTATTCCAGGCACCAAAAATATGAGTCAACTTGCTTGGGCAGAAGAACAGGGAGGATGGAATGTGGGAAAAGAAGGAGGGAGAGAGGGAGATCAATAGCTGAAGACACAATGGAGTGTTTAGCATGGATGCCCGGATGGCTGGGCAACAAAAAAATTGAAATATGGGGGAAAGTAGGACACCATGCAGGGCTGCCAGCTCTGAGTTGTGGCATTCGCGAAATTCCTGGAAATTTGGGGGTGGAGCCAGGGGAGGGTGATGGGAGGGGCCTCAGCGGGGTACAGGGCTGTATAGCCCGCCCTCCAAAGCAGCCATTTTCTCCAGGGGGGTTGAGCGCTATAGTCTGGAGATGAGCTGGAATTCCGGGAGATCTCCACCCCCTCCCACCTGGAAGATGGCAACCCCAACTCCATGTCATGCGCCGAACAGATCCTTGCCGTGGGAAGGGTTGTGTCCCCAGTTATTACAGGGCCACCAAATGGGCTCTATAAATCCTTATTTCTGGGTGTGGAAACAAAGGCCTGTTTTGTGCACAGACTGTGCCAGTGAGGTAGAAGATGATGGTCCTCCAAAAGGGAGGGGTCAGAAGGAAACAGGGCTTGGAGGTGGCTGGTGCCAAGTAGAGGAATAGGGTTGCCAACTCCCAGGTAGTAGCTGGAGATCTCCCGCTATCACAACTGATCCTCAGCCAACAGAGATCAGTTCACCTAGAGAAAATGACCACTTTGGAAGGTGGACTCTCTGGCATTAGACCCACTGAAGCTCCTTCCCTTCCCAAACCCTGCCCTTTTAGGCTCCACCCCCAAAACCACCAGGTATTTTCCAACCTGGAGCCAGCAACCCTATATGGGCATGACTGCTGGGTCAAGTAATGGCTGTTGGGTACGTTTGGCTTAAGTGATTCATTTATTTATTTATGTGTTTAATTTGTATCCCGCCCGCCCTGCCAAGGCAGGCTCAGGGCGGCTTACAGAATGTATGTTAAAACAGCAGAATATGTTAAAACACAAGATTTAAATAAAACCACCACATATAAAGTAAAATACATCATAAGGTGCTAGTACAATCATAAATGATGGCGGCATTCTCTCGGCATCCAAGTAGTCAGCTACCACCAGAGTCTGGGTTTTTGCCAGGCTGTTGGTTCCTAAGTTGGTGCTGCTACTGGGGGCAGGGCCTCAATATTGGGAAGGCAGCACCCTAATCGAAGGCCTTGTGGAGGAACTCCGTTTTACAGGCCCTGCGGAACTGTAAAAGGCGGTGGACGGGGAGGATCTCTTAGGGACAGCAGGAAGTGTGGTTTAGAGGCAAAAGGCCAGCTAAGGAAGTGACTGCTGGTGCCTCGTTGTCACCTGAAAGCACCCGGGTACCGGTTTCTGGGGGACAGTTTCAGGAGGGCAGCCATGCTGGTCTGCGGTAGAAGAGACAGACCAGCAGGATTTTCGGGATATCAGCTTTCGAGTGTCAGAGCTCCCTTTGTCAGATATCAAGCCTGCCAGATCTCTGACTGGTCCCCTAAGCCTCTTTCCTGTCCTCTGTCCCTTTCTTGACTTGCTCACAGTGACTGGTTCCCTGCCTGCCCCATTCCACCTGCCTCTGAGCATGTTCAGTGCTAGTAGGAAACAGGGTAGCCATGAATAGAGATAAGTGCAAAGTCCCACACATAGGTACAAAAAAATCAAAGGCACAGATATAGAATGGGAGGGACTTGGCTTGATAGCAGCAAATGTGAAAGGGTGTTCTGGTTGATCACAAGCTAAAGATGGACTTCCGGTTGGGTGGAAAATGGCACAGACGCTTACTGTGGAGCTCCGAGGACCTTAAGGTTTTTTTAAAATATAAGCTTTTATTCTGTTTCCTTGTCAATAGCATTTACCATATAGTTTATCTAGCTTATCAAGAACAAGATGTTTGTTTAGCTTGCTAAACATGAGCCTGCAGTGCGATGTGACTGCAAAGAAGGCTAATGCAATCTTAGGATGCATTCACAGAAGCATTGTGCCCAGATCATGGGAGGTGGTCGTTCCGCTCTATTCTGCTATGGTGAGGCCTCACCTGGAGTACTGTGTCCAGTTTTGGGCACCACATTTTAGGAAGGATGTTGACAAGCTTGAGCATGTCCAGAAGAGGGCAACGAGGATGGTGAGAGGATTGGAATCCAAGTCTTACGAGGAAAGGCTGAAAGAGTTGGGTCTGTTTAGCCTGGGAAAGAGAAGGCTTAGAGGGGACATGATTGCAGTCTTCAAGTATCTGAAGGGCTGTCATGTAGAAGATGGAGCAGATCTATTCTCTCTTGCTCCGGATGGCAAGGCTAGATCTAACGGGAGGAAATTACAAGGGAGTCGTTGCCGGCTAAATATCAGGAGAAACTTCCTAACTGTCAGAGCGGTTGAGCAGTGGAACAGACTGCCTCGGGAGGGGGTGGATGCTCCTTTGCTGGACATTTTCAAGCAGAGGCTGGACGACCATCTTTTGGGTATGTTGTAGGGCTCTCTTTCGGCTGTGCTCCTGCAAAGTGCAGGGGGTTGGACTAGATGACCTGCATGGTCCCAGTTCCCACTCTCACGTTCCCTGATTCTATGAATGGGCTGCCAGGAGGTGCCCAGAACAGGTAGAAGGTTGCAGATGAGAAGGAGAACTGAACTGAAAGCACTTTTAATTCTCTCTGTGTTTTGCTTCCCACAGTTTGAATTCAAAGCCAAAAACATAAAGAAGAAAAAGGTGAACCTGATGGTGTCTGTGGATGGTGTGAAGGTAGTGCTGAAGAAGAAGAAGAAGAAGAAGAAGGTGAGTTCTTGATTTCTCACACTACATGTGGATTTTTTCTGTAGAGAGTGGATGGAGGGCTTTAGGACCATCCCTCTGGGGATTCTGTGTTTGAACTGATCGCCTTGCAGCCCTTCCTGTTTTTGTGTGTGGGGGGGGGGAGTGTGTGTGCCCCCATATGCTGAAGGGACCTCAGCCTCCCCTTCACCTCATTCTGTAGCACGGCCATTATTGCACGGCTCATGTTGCAGTGTTTGTTTACGGTTGTGTCCTTTTGCAACTTGCTCCTATTTATTTAAGGGGGGGTCCCAACAAAAACCCCAAATGTTAAGAAAAACACCTTACAACTTGTACAAAAATTGAGGGGCAGATTACAAAGATATACTGTTACAAAAATAAAGGTATAATTTCCATCTTCTCGGATATGAAACTACATTAAAGAAAAACAGTTGCAAGGATCAGTTTGTAGATCTGAGTTCTGATAGCCAATAATCTATTAAAGGTTTTCATGCATTGACAAAAATATGTTTCCCTGGTCTGCCAATCCCATAAGCGAACTTATTGACTCAGTTTAGACGTTTTAGCAATTTGCTGTGCCTTCTGAACCCATTCTTTAATTGCAGATTTTTAAAATCAGTTCTTAGGATGATCATCTTTGCAGCTGTTAATGCATCTGCAAGCACTGGTTGATTGTTTATAGAAAGATAATCTAATAATATTGCTTTAGAGTGTTTATCCCAGTCTTTTTTTTTTCTCCTTTAAGATTTTTACTCCTGTATTAATTATCCTGCACTCATCTGAGCTACCCAATCTCGTCAGATCTTGGAAGCTAAGCAGGGTTGGTCCTGGTTGATACTTGGATGGGAGACCACCCGGGAAGTCCAGGGTCGCTACGCAGAGGCAGGCAAACCTCTGAATGTCTCTTGCCTTAAAACCCCTCTGAGGTCGCAATAAGCTGGCTGCCACTTGAGGGCACTTTTCACCACCAGTAGTTATCCCTGCAAACACATGGTTACCCTGATTGTGTATGTGTGCCTTCAGTATGAATCTTGGTCTCTTAAATGCAGGCAGACTAAACAAACCTATATATCTAATTCCCAAGGCGCCCCCCACGTGCGGATATCTAAATCCGCACATCGGGGGCACCTGGGGGGCAGGGAGATTTTCCTGCACATTTGGGGCAATCCCCAGATGTGCAGAAAAGTCTGAAAACTTGGGGAAAATATGCGGGGGATATTTAACCCCCCCCCCAAAAAAAGTAAAAGAGCATTCCCTGCGCAGGCCACCACCAGGGAGGGGGAAGGGGCGGGAGAAGGCTTGGCCAGCGGGCGGCTGTAAGACGCTCAGCCCTTGCTGCCACCCAGGGGGGAGGGAGAAAGTTTGGCAGGCCGGACAGGCCTTGATGCCACCAGGGGGGAGAGAGGGAGAAAGTTCGGCGGGCCAACAAGGCCTCGCCTCCGCTGCTGGGGGAGGAAGGAGAAAGCTTGGTGGGCCGGCGAGGCCTCACTGCCGCCACTAGGGGAGGGGGGAGGGAGAAAGCTTGGCAAGCCGAGTTCAGGCATCGCCGCCGGTGCTGGGGGGGGAGGAGGGAGAAGGCTTAGAGGGGAGCTGGCCTCGTCATGGGTGCTGGGACACTAGGGGAGGGGGGAGGGAGAAAGCTTGGCAAGCCGAGTTCAGGCATCGCCGCCGGTGCTGGGGGGGGAGGAGGGAGAAGGCTTAGAGGGGCGCTGGCCTCGTCATGGGTGCTGAGGACAGGGGGGGTAGGGGAGAAGGCTCACCTGCGGCTGTTCCCTTCTCTTCCCGTGGAGCTTCTCCCCCCCCCCCACGAGTATCGCGGGTCCCCCTTCTTGTTCTTACTAATTTCCCCTTATTATGATACAGGTTTAAACCCGAGTAGCCTTGTTCATTTTTCCCTTAGGTTTTCTATGGATCCCTAATATGCAGGCAAATCCGAATGCCTAGAATTGTTCTGCAAGTGTTAACATTCCAGCTTCATAAGTTTCTGAATCAGGGCCTTCCTCTCTTTGGCAGCCCCCACTTTTGTGGCCAAGAGCTGGTTTTCTGGATGTTTCCAGACTCCAGAACTCCAAGATAGACCTTCTGGTGTAAAAGATAGTTTCAGGTGGGTTAACAATGTTGGTAATCAAAAGAGCAAGATTCAAGCGCCGCAGCAACTTGAAGACCAACAAGTTTTCCAGGGTATTTCCAGGAGCCAGCTTGGTGTCGTGGTTCGATTCTGCACTTGGAGCCGGCTGGGTGACCTTGGGCCAGTCACAGCACTCTCAGCCTAAAAATAAGCATAGCTAGCCACCTGGTTGTGCCAAAAAAGAGCTACGGCTTCAGGCAGCCAATCAATCCTTTGAGATCTCCTGGCTGTCCCCCCCTCCCCGGGGGTGGGATATAAGCTGTTGAGAGTCAACGCCGGGGGAAAGAGAAAGAGAATAAAAGAGAAAGTGGTTTCTCGGTAGTAAAACCTGTAACCCCTTTCAAATCCCAGTTGCAGAATAATGTCCACATGAGCACACATGAGGCTGCCTTATCCTGAGTCAGGCTCTGGGTCCATCCGGGTCAGGACTCTGCGTCTGCTCGGGCTGGCAGCCGCTCTCCCTCCAGGGCCTCAGGGCAGAGAGAGGCCCCCTGCCGCATCACCCCCTGCCACGGGTCCTTTCGACTGGAGATGCCCCTGGGGAGTGAACCTGGGACCTTCTTCAAGCCAAGCAGAGGCGCTTTCCCTGAGCCACGGCCCCTGCCCAAAGGAAAGGAGATCGATACTACCAGTTGTCATCAAATAGTTCAGGTATCAGGTTGCAATTTATTGTATATGGCCAAAGGCTGTTACAGTATAACAAAAACAACTGCCAAGGCAGTGATAAATAAAGCAAAAATAAAAGCACAATAAAATTGAAAGCAGTGTTAAAATTTCTGGGGCCAAAACAACATATTAATTACTGAGCAAAAATTTATCATGGATTTTCTTAGCGGCCAGTGCTTCTAGAGACACAGCATAAGTTAACACACTGGTTATTGTCAGAATGAAGATGATGAAGATGGTTATCCTAACTGAATTTTGCAAGTTTTATGTGAATTGAGTTCTCTGTGTTTATCAGAATGCTGTTCAAACGTGCTTCGGCAGGATTTCCTTTTCCCAGTATGCAAGTTGTGCTGGTTTTTGTCATGCCTGACTCTTGTGCTTTTGACCCATGCCTCCCTGACAGAGGTCTGTTCGTCTGGGATGGGGCTGTAGCCTAAGATAAAAGATGCCTGGGCGTTTCCTGGATTGAGTCCTCTTCAGCCCTTTTTGTGTTGTGGATAGACTCCGTAGGGTTGCCAGCCTTTAGGTAGGGCCTGAAGATTTCTTGGGATTACAGATGATCTCCAGCTACAAAAATCCGGTCCCCTGGAGAAAATGGCTGCTTTAGAGGAGGGGACGCTGTGGCATTATACCCCGCTGAGGTTACCCCCAAATTCCCCAACCCAGAACTGGCAACCCTAG